GTCTGGAGATAGAGCGATAAATTTAATGTGAGCAAAGACAAGTTATACATAATAAACATGCTGGCAAGGCTGAGTCATGCCGACTGAATCCCACTAATTCTTCTCGCCTTCCCTAATGCTGATTTTCTCTCCGCATTCAATGTTGAATATCTGTTTTCCCATTTATCTCGTGTTCAGCTTTCGGGATTGTATAGTTAAGGCCCAACGCAACTACAGATGAACTTGACCATGAAGAATCACTTGAAAACAGCTCATTTTTCTTCCACGGGCCTTACTCATTAATAAAATTTAACCAGTCGAAGATTAGTGAAATAGTGCACACCGTCGCTTCAGTGGATATGTATAATAATGACCTAGTTCGTTATTAGTACACTTATCTGTGCCACTATAACGATGAGCTCAATCATAAAATTGTAAAGTTCTCATGATGTGACTGCTCAATCTTTAAGATCTTACGTGGACGTCACATCAGTATGCACACTGACTATTCGTATCGTAACAATTAATAATATGATATTCAGTACTTTTGAACATATTAAGGCTGAAGATAGGATAACGTGTTCATTTTGAATAAAGACAAGTTATACAGAATGACCACGTGTTCAAGGCTGAGCCATGTCAGCCGACTGATTGAATATTCCCACGTTTACCATTGTTGGCCTTCTCTTCGTGTTAAGTGTTGAATATTTATTTTCCCGTTTATTTCACACCCGGATTTGAGGATTGTGTGGTTATGACCAATACCACCACACATACACAGTTTTGCAAACAGACATTAGTGAGTCACATCAAATGAGGAAGTGTAAAATGTCAACGAAATCGCCCATATACCCAAGACGATTTGTTGGTCAACACGTTTAGGAACGAGTAATTCCTCAATGAAACTAAACACACTAGTAAAATCATTAGCAATGAGATATATACATTGTTCCCTCACTCCCAACTTCATAATCGGCGTTTCTTATAAAACAATAAATGCCAGTGATTCAGCGGTTAATGTAACTAAGCTGAAATCAAAGAGGATATTTACGTCAGTAAGCCTTTTTATGGTCAGATAAACCTTCACCAACATGTTTCGGGAACATCAAATCTTATAAGCACTATCCCTGCATTTTTTCACAAGTAATAATAAATGGCTAATCGCAGAATATCTCCACACTCTAAACTCCGTCAGGGGAGATGCCTGAAAAGTCTACACAGAAATCATACTATCGTCCCGAATGAGAACTCAGTTAGATAGCTTGATAGTACGTATAGTTTGAGGCATTACCAAGCAAATATTCACACTAACTGCAAGAAATGAGGAAGAGAAAATGTCAAAATTTGTAACAGATTTTTGGCTGAAGGGCAGTAAAGTCAGTCTTAGACTGACATTTCATGTCTATAATTCTCATTCACTTTTTGTCTAGTAGGTTAAAGTCACTTAATGCAGTGTGATGTTTTGATGAAGATAAATGGATTTCAGGTAAAATATCGCTATTGTACGCTACATGCAAGATGTCATCTATGTTTTGTAGTAAAAGAAAACTTACCTTTAAGCCTCAACAAGGTACACATACATTTACACTAACTTTGCATATATCTTCCTTTGTTAACTGTTTGTGCATATTTGTTGATTATCATCCGCGCAATATTTGTTGGTTGGTACTGCAATCGCCGCGCAGATTGAGTGCGTGGGGATGAATGCTGAGATAGAACCTCATATATTAAAAATGTTCGAGATTAAGAAGAGGATAGGGAAAGGAGTGAGTAAAAATACTTGTTTCTTATTGTTGACGACGAGATTATTTTTCGGACGTTAGTGAAAGTAAAGTGTTTTTGCTTTATAAAACTTTATCAAATATATGTAAAATTACTCATAATAAATACTTCAAGAGCCCTTTTAAGAACAGTATAAAATTTCTGAATAGACTATAAAAACCAAGTCCAATATGTCCATGATAACAATAAATCTAAAACTTGTTCGACTAAATTTTATTTTGTTTGTCTTTAAACATCTTTTATCAAGTTATATATCCGTACATAAGTTGGACGAAGAGGTCTCAAAATATTTACGTGATTAGAGTTAAGTGTCGTCGATATGACAGTAAACCACAACTGTCTAGGTCGAAATATGATTTCACCAGTATATACTTTTAAAATTTATTTGTATATATCGTCATGTATGAGTTTTATTTAGGTAATGCCAATCGTAAATCAGAGTCTCAAAAGTTTTTTGGCCTTTCAAGTCTAAGATTCATGAAATCACAACGAACTTCTCAACCCATAGAGTTGTACACTTCAGGTTTGCTTCCGGCTGTTTTTACTTACTGTAGCTCTGGCACATCTATATGTATATTTACAGCAGTAAGTTAATGACCAATATTATTAGTTTTACACCCATCGAAAAAAGGCAGATATCTGAGAATAATAGCTTGTAGCATAAGGCTCTTAATTTTAAAGAGACAGGTAATGAATTCCTACCTTAGAGCGAACGTTAGCACTCGACCTTCAAATTCTAGATACAAATCCTGGATTCTACTATAAGATACATTCCACATACATTAAAAGTTGTGCCACTTCAAACACACACGTTATAGTATACATAGACGTGGATAAAGGATTTTTTTAATATGACAGATACTAATGAGAATTCGCTACGCTAATTCGTTTTAAGGCGAAGCATAGAAAAATTTTAAAGTAATGTGCAAGTTTTATAATTACGTATAAAGTTTTCATGCACACCAGTGGACAACAATTATACAACTGAAATAGAATGATTTATGTGCTTAGTTCGTGCAAACAAAACTACACGGAATTGATATTAGTTGCGGTAGACAAATGTTTCAAATTACGAAGCAAAACAATGTGGAAAAACATAGAAGATATTTAAAATGACAGGTGAGGCATTCACTGATAAAACGACTAACGGAGAGTGGAAAGGTTTTCTTCCTCGTTTTCATTGCTCCCAAGTTACATGGTCAAACATCATCTGCTTATTGCCATTATGAACATCCCAATCAGCAGATAGTTATTTCACTCCAGGTTCAACTGGTAATCCACTTTCTTTAAGTTAGGGGTCTGGGTCATATCATTAGCCTTTAAATAAATAAAGGTGATATTCTGAATCCTGCGCTTGCCTAACGAGTTAAGCTAGAATAAAAATGATCTAATTATGTATACAATAAATACTAGTTGTTGGTAACTTCATGAATCAACTATGCATTACAGTCTTTTGAACACATATATGCACATAGTCTATATGATCGTATCAAACAGCAAGGCAAATACCAGTGACATGTATTTTACAGAAAGCCTGATTCACAAAACTGACTAAAACAATGATCAGTAAATAATATAAGTGGTATGTAATAATAAAAAGGAAAACTCAGGGAATTTCTAGTAAATCAGAGAATATTTTACAAAATGTATTGATAACTTTTGAATCATTACTTATTTAAATGATGTACGGTTGATCTAATTTCTAAAAAACGTAATCTTACCATAAATAGAAAGATTTATTTAGTGGGTCGAACTTGTGTTTATACCCGAGATTTTTATTCGAACACAATAATAATTCATATTCCGTCATTTTTGAACGATCGTTTAGTAAAATAAACCAATGTTTGTTATCCTGGTTAAACACAGAGAAATTAAAACTTTTCTTCAGCTTAAACATTATATAAAATATTTAGTCATTAGGGAGAAAACCTTATGTTTAGATTTACTATTTCATAGTGCTAAGCACCATGGAAATTATACAATCTCGTGAATGCTCATACCTTTGTCCACACACTATCACTAACCCGTTCAAGATATGATATCCACCATGTAGGACTAAGCTGAATACCGTGATTAGTTAGTTGACTTTTGCCGGCTTTATCTTATGTAATTCACTGGTACATTGATTGAGCAGTAACTCTATATGCAAATGTTCTGGTTTACATACACGAGATAACTATAACCATTTGATTACGAACACCAAATTAAACTCATTCTATATTCTCCTTCAAATCTATCCAATTGCTTTTAGACTATAAATTAATATTGTACAATCAGTAATTCATTTATTTATCTGTTAGTACTATGCCAAATGACTTAATTCCCATCAGTTTAGTTAGGATTCTGTTTCTTCTCTAGGAACAACTCTAGTTGGTTGATTACGATACCATTGTGTCAGCAGTTTACTAATTTTTTTCTACAGTTCATTATATGCTCAACTTAAGTTAATACAAAAACGATTTTAAATAATTTGTTAATGTGTTTAAATTAAATATAGCTGTTTAAACGGTAATTTTCATTGCAAAAGGGGAAAAATATTGAAGATGAGAGAGTAGTGCATAGTAATTTTGATTTAATTCAGATTTTTTCACTATCAATGACGATCACCGTAAAATATAAAACTTCCACACAGTCGTAAAACTGAGTTAGTTTTTCTTTCCATCGGATAACTCAAAAATACGTTGTATAAATTCACTTGGTATTGTTTACTTGAATCAACTCATTGATGTTTTGAACTGCAATTGATCAGTCTCATATTGTCATTGCCTCGATATTGCCTTAAGTCACAAGCACTGTAAGCCAAGATGGATATTGGCTAGCAGTAGGATTGAGGACACTCATCTCGTCCTATTTGGGACTCGTCATCTGGATATACTTGTATCCCAAATTTGATGTTCACTTGGGGAGTCGAACCCAGTACCATTTGCTTAAAACACCATCACGTTATCCACTTAGCAACCATATTTCATTTTGATTGACAGAATCTAGTCAACAATAACATTGATCACTTGTTATTCAATGATTGACCATTGAAAATTCTTGTACAACTTAGTAAAATAAAATCACTGATCTTTTCTAATCAATAAATCAAGGTAATACTATTTTAGAATAAAAAACCCTGATTAGATATTTATCAATATTTCACCCTGACATGTTGCTAAATGTTTTTGTTTTCCACAAATTATAATGTTGTATGAGATAAAATCTATCAAACTTTACCATACATGGTATGACTTATTTTGAGTTGTAACTTTGGTTTAAAACAGGTTTGTAGTGAATTTTTATCAACGGTTATCTAACTCGAGGAGTTTAGCTTTGTCAAGAGTGTGATATCTATCAGAAAGGACATGAGTAATCGTGAATTAACTGAAGTTGAAAATGCAAGCTGTTTGTTACTAATTTAACAGACTAACGGTGAAGGAATCGGTAAGCGGCCTATAAGTTTCAGGTTCTATTCTTGGTTGAGGTGTATGTGTATGTTGCTGAACAGCTTCAGAACTAGGAAGCAATATTTTATCATCAGTAAGGGTTTGAATTATCCCATTCTCGATATTCTGGGTTGAATCTCGATCGTTTTTGGTGTATGTGCAGTTTGTTTGGATTACCTCAGTACAGAGATTATGTCAAAAAGTATTATATGATAGATAGAATTAGGTTAGTAGTGGAATACAGGACGCGTATCTCTCCATATTTGTGACCCATCATACATATACATGTATTCTAGTGTTCTTTTCTACTTTGAAACATAAACCCAATATCTTTTCCTTCAATTTCTCAATAAGCTATTCAGATAGTCACTAAATTGTTTAATATAAAAATCAACACTGTAATGGAGATAAATCCAACCAACGAGTTCGAAATAGAACAAAGCGTACTCCTTGAACTACACTGCTAACTTTAGTCTACCTATTCTATTGAACTACGGAGCCACCATTCTGTAATACTTTATAGTTCTTATTGCTTCAGAATGATGAAATTAGTCTCTGATGCTAAACTGTCCCATTGTGATCAGATTAAGATTGGAAGTTTAAAGTGATTTCTCTAAGAAATCTTTAACTAATTCATAAATTGGACGCTTATAATGTTATCTGATTTTATAATATAAGATTAAGTAATGTAATATTGACTGTAAACTAGAAAATTAGCATCTTTATTTTGAATTTTATTCATTCTTCGTGATTCACTGTTTAGGAACAAGATAATTAGATTTTGATTGAGATCATGAACCGATTGATGTTAGACCACAATTGAAAACCTGGAAGCACTGGACGAGGCAATGCTGAGGAGTCCCACAATAGGACGAGGCTGCCGTTCAGTGCTTCTAGGTTTTCAATGGTAGTCTAACATCAATCGGTTCATGATCTCAATCAAAAACATAATAATCTCCACAACCTCATACTGATAAATAGTTTTAGTAATATTTGAGAAACCTGTGAAAAACACCCCCCTGATTTAATTACCTTGTCAGTTATAAATTTGTTAGCAGGGTAACAACCAATTATCTAATCTCCAATTAGTTACTGAGCTATTATAACCATTGCCATGCTAATTAGTTCCTAATGTCTACAGGGATCTATCGACTAAACTATCAGATATTGTATTACTGGTTGTTTAACAAAGCAAATGTAATTAGTCGTTACAGTTCACTAGACCAAGGTTAAGTGCTTGTCGATACTCATTATCATTATATAAAAGTTTGAAGGAATTGTTATTCCTTGGTCATTACTGAGGACTAGACAATGTTACTCATTAATACCCAGTAACTTGTTAGTGTAAATAACCCAGCCTTACAGTGGATCAACCGAGATTTACAAAACTTCGTATCAGTATGTCTGACCACTAGTGTTAAGTAGATTTAAATCTTGTTGTATGCACTAATTCCCTCGAGATCTTAATTTATCTTAACAACAAGTGTTAAACAGTACAAAACTTAAGTTTGGAAAACTTCCCATAGATCGATAAGAACCATTAAGTATCGTATAATTGAATGTGAAAAGAAGTAAGCAGTATCAAAGTAGTCTTTAATACTGATCATAGATGAATCGCTGATCACTCTAGATGATATGATGAATTAAATTTATAATGTGAGCATTTTTGCTTTTCTAACGTACTACATAAACAATCATCCAGTATCTAGTTTTTTTCCCGTAGTAATTTGGGTCTTCCGAATAGTTCACCCTTTCCCTCTCTTTCCTTTTTATTTATTTGAACGCATAAATATTGGTACAATGGGGCACCGAATACATATGCGCCACACAAATCACTGTGTGGGCTGTGATACTGCCTGGGTACTCAGATAGAAGTAGCTGACTTTCTTAGGGGGTCACACTCAGAGCCTTCGACCTAAATGCAGTGGAGCAACGTCAGGAGATCCAGACACATGGTAGTCAGTGACCAGTAATTGGTTCACACGCTATTCGTCCCTTCAGGATACTGGAGCCTATGCACACCATTGGTTTGGAATTGTGGTTTTCCAACTTCCATAGGTGAACCCTCTGTGTCCACCAACCCGGTTAAAACGATGGACATTTGTTTTTCGTCCTCTTGATTTCGTAAACAACGGTAATGCCACGAGAAAGCAGTGAGTAGGACTTCCCTGACAGTGGATGTTTATGTGTGGCCATGTGAGAGCATTTCGAGAGGGAGAGCGAACTCTACTCGCCCTCAGCCTAATTTGAGTCGCTATGTTTACTGTTGTAAAGAAAGCTAGAAGAGGACAAACAAGCATGTTCTGTCAGTCAATAAAGTCACTGACTATTGGACTGAGACGTATAGATAGATGCCGACTATATAGTTAAGGTCATTGTGAATATCAATGCTAGTGATTAGAATCATTAAGTGAAGTGCATTAGAAGCAGTTGATGTTCACTTCGGGACTCGGACCCAGTGTTGTTCGCTTCAAACGCCATCATATTATACCCTTAGTTACTGAGTCCTGATAGCTACTTGCTTATGCAATGAGGTAACTGATCAATTGATCAGTCCTAAACATTAATGGAAGATTCAGGTAAACAATACCAAGTGAATTTGTCTTGATAATTTCATCACACTATACTGATATGATATGTCAACTTGAACTGATAAAAAATTGTATCCCGTGTTCCATGTTGACTAAAACCGACTAAGTGCCCACAACTTACAAGTTATTATTTTTTTATCTGTAGACAAATATAGTTTTATCAAATTCAATACTGATAATTACAATGTACTCACTAGTGACTACCTTCGTGAAAAAGTTCTCGGAGTTCTAGTGAATAGCTGTGACCAGTGGAGCTAATCCGTGTTGGATAAAGACGGGTATCTACCTCAGTACAATGGAGGTTGGTCACGCAATTTCGTGGACATCAACACCATTTGATGCCGACCGTCTCGGTGGCCTAGTAGGTTGAGTGTTCGCAAGCGAGACTAAAGGCTCTGTGTTTGAATCCCGCGGGAGGGTTCGTAGATGCGCGCTGCGCACTAAAACCCAATGCTTCCAGGTTTTCAATGGTGGTCTAACATCAATCGCTTTATGATCTCAATCCATGACTCAATTCATTCCATTCTTTGCATTATTCATTCATTCATTATTGAATAATCAAAAAAGAAGCTTTTTTTCTGGTACTGATCAATGTCATTAAAATCTGTGAATAGAATGTTACTTGCCAGTGATCAGTTTTACTTATTTATTCACTTAGTTTTGTATTTTTTTTGTTTTCTGTCAATCACTTTATACTAAAAAAACGAATATCTTAAGAATATATCACCACATGTTACTCTATTCTTAACTTCATTATTAAATGAATTAACTAATGTACATATGATTTTAACTGTATCGTTTACATCCACGATACTGCCTCACAAGATTCGAACCCAGGACGGGGTCGTGGATGCGCATGGACGATGAGTCCCACAATAGGACGAGACGGCCGTCCTAGTACTTCCAGGATTTTCATGATGATATAGCTTCAACTGATTTATGATCTCAACTATTAAACTTAATATATATATATATATATATATATATATATATATATATATATATATATATATATATATATATACCTGGTTGGGGACCGCGAGATGATATCAACCGATTGTTAGAGACCCTGAATGACATGGCTCAAAATCGTTTGCAATGGCGCAAGTGCATCCGTTCTTTGTGTCCTCTCAAATTCTAATCTTCTGAAATCTTCGTGTCCTTTTATTTTTTTCTCTTTCCAAATTTATTTCACTGGATTATACTCCTTGAATAACATCTTCAAACCCTAATCTTTCCGATTACTGCTTATACTTTTACTACCTCTACCACAACGGGATTTGAATCGACAATTGTATCTCTGTACTAATGTGGTGTGGCAACTAGAACTGATGTACGTACGTACGTACGTACAAAGTTCTACGTTGTTAATGACTGACTGAATATATATATATATATATATATATATATATATATATATATATATATAACCAGGATGAAAAATTATTCAAGAAATTTCTTCACTTAATTTGCTCTGGAAACAACTTTAAAGGATTTCCCAGGATAGAGTTGGATGGAGAATACTGGTAGGCGGCCTATGTTCCTTCATGAAGGGTATCGGTCTGTCAGTTAGTCAGTCACTTACAACGTAGGATCAGGCACACACATACATCAGTCCAAGTTGCCATACCTCATTAGCACAGCAAGACGAACACCGGACTCATAGAAGCAGTTAACTCAATGGAATAATATATAAAAAAAGATTTTATGTAAGGATATAGTACAGAAAGAAAGAATTAGTTCGTAGAAAGAAAGATATGAAGCGATTTTAATCTCATAGTTTAAGGGAGGATAAAGAGTGTATACAGCTACGCGATTGTGACCGATTTTGAGCCATGTCACCCAGAATCTTTATCCATTGATTACGATAGTCATGTGGACCCGAAGCAGATAGCCTGCATCTACCAACATGGCTAAGACTAGAAGTTAGTGACTTTGCAGACTACTGTCACGTTTTGGTTTGGCCGCCCCTGATATTCTTCGAACCGCCTCCAACACTAGTTATCATTGCGCGTCATGATAATCAGTGTTCAGGCATGCTCAACACTTGGCCCAACCATCTCGGTCGATGAAGATTCATCAACTGATTTACCATCATTCCCCAATACCCTGCATCTAACTTCATTAACCTCACTTACTCGGCCATCTCAATGATCTAGAGGTTAAGCGTTCGCGTGCGAGACCGAAGGCCGTAGGTTCGAATCCCGCGGGCGGGATCGTGCGTGCGCATTGCCAAGGAGGAATCCAGTGCTCCCAGGGTTTTAATGGTGGTCCAACATCCAATCGGTTCATTATCTCAACCAAATAATTCTGTATTCTTCGTTACGTAATACTTCATTAAATTTTTTTTGTTGACAAAATTCGGAAACAACTTTTCTATAATTCATTGAAATACTTCAAGCAATTG